CTAAAAACCAATCTGGTGTTCTGTGCTGGGTTTTTTTTTTCTGGGTACTGAAACACTATTTGTTTCTAGACTGGTGTTTGTGGTGAGGGAGGATGGGGGAGAGAACAACAATGAAAACATATGTTATTGTACAGAAGTAATATTTTCCTTTTAATCGACATTTCTTTAAGGTTCTATATGTGCTACATGCATTGGAATATCCAAATTAAATTTTAAGCTTTAAATGTATAAACGTGTAGGCCTGAAACAGGCTCCCCTCCATCTTCTGTACTAATAGTAAAAACTTATCAACAGATATTGCCTATGATGTCAGCAGATATTCATGATGTCACAATATTGAGGATGTCATTTAATAAAGGTGTATATCTGATTCATTACGTACCTTTAGAGTGTAACATTTCTTCTTATGGTGAATATACACAGGTTACTTTAAAAATGCAACGTAAAACATTTCATTTTGAAAAGCTCAAAAAAACCTGCTTTTTGTTCATCCATTGTGATATTGCATTTCTGTTTACCACTGTGTATTAGCTAATGATTTTGATTTCAAGTTTAGTTTTTAAGTTAAGTTCAGTAAGTACCTTTAAGGTAATTTTGTTTTTTTATCTTTTTATCATGTAGATGTGTGGCAGACATTTTGTAACCTGGATTTTTCATGACGCTCTGCTGCTGGTGCTTCGTAATCTGGACATTATGTAACCAAGGCATTTCAGGTCTCAAAATGTCCAGGTTGCGAGGTACCCGTGGTATATTTGCTGGGGGTCTGGGTGTTAGAGGGCCCTGGTTACAGAATGTCAACAATTCCATATAGAATAAATGTTAATAATGATAATAATTATTATTATTATTGTTATTTTTATTGTTATTATTATTATTATTATTATTGCTATTATTATTATTATTAAGGAAGCGCATGCAATGAGAATTAAGCATTTAACTAAAGCCTCTATACCTTACAGTATATAAATGTTTATTGGGTTTAAAAACAACCAATGACGTGTATGGAAGATTAGGTTCTATGTACTGTAAAAATGTCTATTGTGCCATTACACCCTTCATTGTATTCAATATTTCTTATCGGTGGTTCAACTGTGAACGTCCTTCACTTTTAAAAAGTTGTGTAATTTTATAAGCATTGGATTTTCTACACTTCATTTGGTAATATACTTACAGTTATATTCCTATTGTGTAGTTATTTAAGTAACCATTATTAAACTTTTTAAAGCTCACCGAAAAGTGTGTCATTTAAGATATGTCAATCAATAGATATTAGCTTTATCATCCGGCGTTTGCAAGGTCCTGCAAATCATCTAATATTATGGGGCCCCCACAAAATATATTAAAATAGATTTGATAATATTCATAAGAAACAATTAAATACTGTACTTCGACTCATAATTACTCTTTTCAACACCTTGTACAAACAGTGACTCGTTTACCTACTGTTTTCTTTTTTTAACATATCAATCATTAAATCTTTGCTTGAATTACTTTATGATTCATAGTTTTGGAGTCCTTAATCTAAAAACTTTATATAGTTATTTTTATAATTTACTTTTATATAACATATATTTAATAATAGGAATACACTTAAAATTTTGCTTTAGATAATTTATGGTTTACTACTATGATATTATAATATTGGTGATTATTGCTGTCCATGGAGATAAATTAATAGTGAAAATGTTTTTACTTCTATTAGAGTGAGTTGCATTTGTACCACAAGTATTTTAATTAAATCAAGTGGGTTTTTTTTTTCAACTAAAAAGATGACTGACTAAAATAAGCTGTAATATTGAATTAAAATAATATAATTATTTTTGGCGTGTATACATATCAAAGCACTCCATTTCCCTGTCAGTGGAAACGGTATTAATTACACCCTGGGGTGAGTACCCAGTCAAGCATGAATATTCAGTGGCGCAGTCTAAATACGTTCAACATAGAACATTTGCATCCTACAAGGTACCTATTTATACTCCTGGTTGGAGAGAGACAAAAATAGATAACATGTGAATGGGTAGCGTGAGATTAAAACCACAAAAACACAGTTGAGAAACTCAAAGTTAAGCGCTAACATTTCACATTTCATTTCCTCGTGTACTCAATATAATCAAGTTTTGCGTCAGTTGATGTCCACATGAAATAGTGGGTGTTTAGGTACATGGTGGTAAACTAGATTGAAACAATTTTAACAAGAATTTCTTCTGATTATAAATCACTCTTGTTTTTTTTTTCATTTTTTTTTTGTAGTATTATTACAAAAGTGATGAGAAAATTGCTTTACACACTGCTCCTGTTTAATATTTCTTTTTAGGTTCTCCATATCTGTTGTCGGTCAAAATTTTCATTGTTGAACTTGCTGTCATTAAGTGCTCCTGGAAAAAGTCTTCTTGGTTTCCTCTTTAATATGATAATCCTGAATTTAGTTTGGTTAGATGTTTGGCAGATATAAGTATGACAGCCTGTGCCCCAGTTGCATCAACCCATCCATGTCATGTGACTGGTGGGTGTGGTCACAATATTGACCTTTGAATTTAAGGTCATTATTCCCAGTCATCATTCTTTGTGAATCCAATCTTAAATTGAAAACAATGTTTTCTTAATGAAGAAAACAATTACCAGAAATAATGATGTCAATCTTATACATCATTATTTCATCGATGATCACAGCACTGGTTACCCCTCGTTACTGGATACAAAAACATTAATGCACAACATGCAAAACTATCCGCTCACTGGGGAGTATCCCTAGTCAAGCAGCTGAAATAGGGAAGAAGATAAAAGGTTAATGATAACATAATGTAGTTAAATTTGTTAGACCATAACACAATGTCTAGTTTTGCTACTATCACTACCCATAAATAAAAGAATAATAACATCAACCAACACTGTGCTGTGTTTCATCGTGTTTGATGATGGTGGTGTCTTATCTTCTTTTTTTTTATATGCAAAGCTATTACGGGTGAACAGGAACATAGCAATTTTCAGCCATTTTTTTTATTATCTATTAAAAGAGATTCATGGAGGCTTGGAATCTGCATTAGAAAATGATGATCTCCCATACGTTTTGAGTCAACATGATGAGAGATTAATCACATTGACCAAATTAAAATTTATTCTTCAACCACCTATTTCTATGATATTAAATTTTTTGAAGAATTTATTAAATTTAAAATACTACTTCAATATGGTTCATGTTTAAAACCATTGCCATTGAATATTGATCATTTAATCTAGAATAAACAAATAAATTGGACTAGTTTTTTTTTTCTGTCAAAGTAATTTGATGTAATATTTCTAAATATCTTGGGAAAAAAATTAAGCTTCTGTATTTAGGTCATTTATTTACTCCACGAGTCGCAGTCCCTTTAAGATGACATCATTTTTTAATTTTAATTTTTTCATGTATCCATACATAAAGGTTGACTGCCTACAGTAATTTTTAGTGACATCTATATTAGCTGCCAGATGATGTTCCAATAAAATTGCAATGATGAAAGAAAGCGCAAAATGTTTAAGAGACCTTAAGGAAAGCTCAGGTTAACTTGCTTTTCACAGCTTGATGAATAACTCTTAAATTGTGAATGATAGAACACAAAACCATCCGGCCTGAGACAGTAGCAAGTGGTAGAATGTAGAAAATCAAGTGACCCATATCTTTTTTTCTGGTCATAAAGTGTCTGGGACACATTGCATGTGGTTATATTGATGAAGGGTGTACAGTAATCACTATTTAATAGTTTCTGTTTATTTTATGACTTCCTGAAAATATTTAATAAATCTATCTAAAACAAAACAGAAATATATTTTTTCCAAGACCAACTATCGCATGATTTAGTACAAACATATAATTACTTGTCAAAGAAATTTTCTTTACACAATAATACAAGATGATTCCTATTTTGTATTAAAATATTTTTTTAGGCACTGCCAAGGGTATGCCAAACAAACCTTGCACAGGACAAGAAGCTCTTCATGCTGTAGACTAAGGCTAACTATTCCACTTCTTATCAATAATAATGATAAATAATATTCATGTCATTTAACATTCAGAGAGCAGGTTGTGGTACAAGCAGGGATCAAGGGGTTTTTTACCTCCATGGACAAGCATGGACCCTCTTTAGGTCATGGACAAGTATGGACCCCTTCAGTCCTTGGCTCCACTAAGAATTTTACCCTTGGACCCTGTCCCTTGGTTCAGGCTTCTTAAGCATCTTGCTTGGTTTGGACTCCCTGTCGGATTTGTTTGATCCCCTGTCGGATTTGTTTGATCCCCTGTCAACAGATTTCTGTAGCCATCACTGAGCAAGAACACCAATATAGATAGTAAAACGTATTATCATCAGATTCAGAATCTGCAGCCAATTGGATGTCGCTATAAACGTCGACTATAATTACCTTTACTACCCTGGATACGTTCTCAATGACAGTTACATTTTGGTTTGTCTGTTTGATTGAAATCAACCCATCTCATTTGGCTGGGTTCAGAATCAGGCAGTAGCATCCAGAGGAAGTGTTGATTTGCGCATTGTTAAAAGAGAAGTCTGCCATCGCTGACTAACAGACCAGAGCGATTACGTCCAATTTTCGCTTGTTTCCTCCGGTCTTCACATTAGTGTTATTAGATTTAAAGTATTCATGTTAACTTCAATTACCACTAATTTGTTGGTTCTTAAAGATAAATAGTTTAACATTTTGTTGTGTTTAGAGATGCAATTAAAGAATATTAAATAAGGTAAAACAAATGGTTTCACATTTTAGATTATAAATTTTATTTATAACATCAGGATGGACAAAAACACAGTAAAATTAGTTTATAATGACTTTCATTATTGTTTGTTATAGGATATCTTTTTATGTTTCTTTGTGTTTTTTAATATTTACTGTTCCCTTCAGCTACATCATGTTCATTTTTTTTATCTCAAATATTTTTTTTTTTTTTTTTTTGATAATTTAATATTTACTCTGAAAATAAATGCAGTTTCTTTCTTTTATAGACTGGCTTAATACGTACAGCTGAAACGGACTACTTGATTCAACCACTACCGGAACATATAGCAGTGGCACAAAACTTTACAGCGGGATCTGACCACTCTCCACACATTATCTATAAAAGGTCCGCAGACATACGACACCATAAGCATGAACCAAAGATAGGTAAAGCTAAAAGCAAAAAGGATCATTTTTGTGGAAGGAAAAAAAAATGTAAGTATATAAGAAAATTTAATGTGATAGGTTTGTTTTATAAAAGTGTTAACCTGGGGTTTTTTAAATATTGAATGCACCTCAAACAAGGCCTAAGAGACACTTTCTAGGTAAGGGGTTAATTTTTTATTAATTATATTTATATACCACGAAAAACTTGCAGGTTGAAACATAACGTGAACTACTTCACATCCTGTCAACAACGCAAGCTGGGGTATCTATATGGCCAGCAAGAATGGTTAGAGTGCAGTTTGATTGTCTGACCTCAAAGTTCAATAACCGGAATGAAAACCACTGTGCCAAACCGCCTTCCACTAAATTATTTGTTTTCTGAATGTTTTATCATAACAAAAAACTTATAAGTTCAAGTTATAATTAAATAATTCACAAATGTGGAAATACTATAAATCACTCTGTTTTTCTTATTTTTTTTAGTTGCCTTTGTAAGAACTATTTAATCATGTATAGAAAGTGCCAATTAGATGAAAATGTAAATAATAAAACTTATATCTGGCAAATGACAATTTACTTTGGATAAGAATATAAAAATATATATACCAATATTAAAATTCGTTAGCAGGCTTAAATGGATTTAATCAAATGGAACAACTGCTTTTAAAAGAATTTTAATTTCAGTACAATAGATTATTTTTGTGCCTCTTTGGGAAAGAAAATTTGGATAAATATGTCCTTGGCATCCAGGTTTTTCACATGTAAGATAATTCTTATGAGAAATTAATGAAAACCCATAACAGAACAATTATATGGATCAAAACCAAAATACATTGATTTCTTTGATTTTTTTCAAGGTTGGGTTTTAGGTTTAACTATTTGAGTGAACTGAAGCCTTTCACAAAAACCCAATTCGGATATTGTGTATATCTTGTATGACAGCAGGCTTAGAATACACAAAGGTGGATACAATAGTCGCATTACATATTCTGTTTAATAATTTGACAGTTGTGATTCAATGCAAACTCTTTTTTATGCTCAGAATAGATATATCCATTAGCCAGACAAAGACTTTTTTTCTAAAGAATGTTCATCATGATCAAACCTTTCCCAATACAAAAATGAAAACTTCCATTTCACCTAATTTTCCTCATGTTTATTTGCTGTTTGAATTTCTGTAAGGACAATATTCAAAGTATTAGTAGGAGTGGGTCCATGTGAGAAGGGCATAGG